GTTTCTGATCAGATCTCTCTATGGCGATACAAAATAAGACAAAAGAACACTGTGCCGGGATCAGTTCAGGCACTTCAGTTCTAGACACCTACTCCTACAGAAGCAGAAAACATTAAAAAACTCATCTATGGTCCCCAAAATCCTCTGTGGTGGACAAAAAGAGCCGTCATTTCCTAATAAAAATATAGCATTCGCCACGGTTAATTTAATGTTAACCAAACGAGCAGTAAACGAATATGCAGCACCTTGAGGGTTAACCACCACACACATCAGTCTGAGCCTATGCTCACAACAGATGGAAGTAATATTGTAAAGGTACACCATTCTGTGTATATTTCAGGTCTCAGTGCATAAGCTGGGGGTAGACGCAGACAGAAGCAAGGAACGATGCATGAAATTAGTTCATTAATCTTCCTCTCATAGGCTGCCCTTGTTTAGGGGGGAACTCTACCTGCTATGAACAAAGAGCCCGTCGCTCCATAGTCATCAATTACTCTCTTCATCACAGGGAATGCCCAGTGGAGAACGCAGCACACATCCACTGCAGGAGAGATGAAAAGCTCCACCTGGCCTGCCCAGTGCACCTGACAATTACTGAACAATCAAATGTATCAACGTCTGCATCTTCACTCATGTTCAGAGAACAACACAACAACATTAGCCTTACTCTTCACATTCTTTACAGTGTGACACTGAGATGAAGGGGATACACACGTTCTAGACACATAGGATTCCCAAAGAGGACAGACAGTATCCAGTTAAATCCTGCGAGCTCTAAATAGAGTCAATAAACCTTGATACACTGATAGATTTTTTAAGCATGAGCTGCTATCGGGGTATCATCAAGAGTTCCATCAAGTGTTTTTATGTTTGTAACTTACGCTGAGTGGTGCTAACATGCTAATTTGTGTTCTCTGTAATATTTTTTTCATAAATCTGTATAATATTTTACAAGATTTAGATGATATTTATGTAGCATTAGTGAAGTTAATGAACTTGGCTAAAAAGCCATTATGAATGCACAGTGATATCGGTATCATATCAACATCAGCAGATATGTGCTTAAAAAATACTGTCATCAGACAAATGTTTAGATTTGACCAATATTTCAAACTAATACTTCATAATGTATTTATTGTACTCTGGAAGAGCACAACATTTAAGCAGCACTGGGTTACTGTGTTAGAATCTCTGCCTTTTTATACATTTTACTGCATTTGTAGCTCTCTACAAGTAAGTATTTTATTTCTCTGTATTGCTAATCCAGATGCTAGTGCATCCCTAGAAGCAATGCCTTAAAAACTCGACATAGCTTATTTTGATTTGACTATTTAATCAGTCTTCATTTTTAACAATTTAAAGCACTCAGCAAATGACATACATTTCAGTTAACTCATGTTTTAAAGTTAGGTTTTGATACTGTTTATAAAAGTTTGCTTGAACACTCCTCATCAACTACACCTTATCTTTCTGTCAGTGTCAGTGTTGTTTGGTGTACCACTGTTCGTCCCCATGAAGGATGACTTTGAACACTATCCCTCGCTTTCCTGCCGAACCTCACTATTTAAACTGCATTAAGTAAATTTTACCTTTGAGGACTTTGCAACATTAACAAATTTATGTCACTTTAATACAGAGATTCATCTCACGGGGCAATGCAAATGTATCCTGACAAAGCAGTAAGGACCCAAATCTCCTGCTACAAGCAGGTAAAGACTCAACGGCATCTTCACAAACAATAAACAGCCTATGCTTTGGCAACTATAATGTAATAGCTTGCATAAGTACAAACTTGATCCTGAACATCATGATTGAAAATGATGTTCACACACCATCATGATAATATTTAAAGTTTAGTACTAATCACTTATGACTTTTAATCAATTATGGCAACGCTTGCAGAAATGTATCTATGCACTCAGTCCTAAAAAAGAACACATGACAGCTACAGCAGGAGCGTGCTTCCTCCCCCCGTTCAAGCTCTCACTCGGCCTGGCTGGCACTTTTACTCAGCAGCATCTGCCAAAAAAGTTGCAGTGCTGTGTCCAGTTCGGCTCGTCCCCCCGCGCCCCCTGTGCCTCAGATACTGAAGCAGGGCGGATCGCTTGGCGGCCAGCACACTGGATAAAGATTTACATTATAATGCACTCTGCTTTTCTGTGAACACGCTGCTCGTCATTCACAGGTCAGCACCGGAGAGCAAGAGGAACAAAAGCTCCCGTATAATGGACTTTGATTTAGGTGGCGGAGATAACACATTGACATTGAATTAAAACAAAGAAATGAAATGGAACGTGATAACCTTCCGAAAAGTCAGAAGAGAGAGAAGCCTAAAAGATACCTAACACAGCCAGGGTTAAACCTCCTCAATGTTCAAGCCCTGGACTGGTTTAAAGGTCTTTTGCGAAATATGATATTTGCTGCCTTTTGGCAAACATTGTATTTAAAAAATCACAATCATCCATCCCATTTAACTAACACTGGTATAACTGGAGAGGACGAGGTCTCTAAAAGACTAGTTCATATTTTATATCAGTTGCTGTTTTTTACATTTTCCTTGTGTGAAACTGCTTTAATTGTTTCATATTGTTGTGGGTACATCTGTACTATATACAACTAGTAATAGTTACTTTACAGTAGAAATAGTTTCAATGGAAGTTCTCTCAAAAAACTGAAAAAATATTTTTAATTATGACACATTCTTTCTAAAAATCGGTGCTAAAAATGTCCACTTAGAGCTCAGACAGACATCAGCTCAGAGTGCACTCACTATCAATCCCCACAACACATTTCTGAGTTCCCTGCTGAACTTTCTCTAAGTTTCCATGCTGTTATTTGCTGTGTATGTGTTAGGACACCCATGCGGGGTACAGATACAGTGTGGGGGCTACAGGCAGAGCCGCTGAGGCTGGATGTGCTGCTGGAGCCGCTGCATCGTGCACTCAGTTTGGCTGTCAGGAGGAATCAGAGCCAGTATTGTGACGGACCGTTTCAATATTGATTTCATAAATAAACAGAGCTAACCATCGATCCTAATGTTATTTTGCATTTCAATTACTGCTCAGAAACATAACCTTCAAACGACTGGGCGTTCAATACCAATAACATTCTCTGATAAACGCTCGCATAGCCACCCAACGCACGTCGCGCTTCACTTTTTTTTTCTCCTCCTCTCTCTCCAAAGTGTAAATTAGTGGACTTAGCATTTTCCCTCCATAAACATTTAATTAGGGAGCGAATCAGAAAGCAGGGTGTGGATCGTTTCCCGGGTGTCTGTGGGACTGACAGTGTCACGGATGCAAATAGAGATGGAGTGGTGTGGACAGCACCACCCTGCTGCCGCGAAACTCATATTTCCATTAAAGTGCATGTACAGCACCCACAATCTGACATCTGTCACACTCTATATAGAGATATAAGAGATATCTCTTATATCTCTGACTTGTGGAGGTTTTCATTCACCCAAAATCCTGCATTCAACAAAGAAATTAAATGAAGGTTAATCAGTACAAATGAAGCGTCCTGAAATGTATGTTTAGAAACTCAGTGTCTCTTTCAAAATTAACATTTTTTAGGTAAGTAAACTGTTCAACTACAATTGCCTATACATATAGTTCTGTAGCTTTGTCTCTCAAGTGTGCGCCCCGCATGTGAGTGCCCTTGTGGTGTCGGAGCAACAGGAAGATGTGCTGACACGCAGCGTCAGTGATAGCAGTGGCTATGGGGTGGAGGCAGGATGCAAAGGCCCCAGCCCTGTCTCAGCCAGGCATTATCCCCAGTGCACTAATGGACCCCCGCTTTATTTTTAAACACGCTGTCACAGTGCAGCTAGGATGCCAAGGTTACCTTAGTGAGAATGAGGCGGGACGGGCGGGTGATGTGGCCTGCTTCGGACGCTGCTGCAGGGTGCGAGAGTGCTGAATGAGGGAGTGAGACTGCAGCACTCCACCGAGAGAAGAACAACACCTGCAGCCGGAGTCAGCCTCAACCAGCGCCCTCTAGAACTAATGAACGTACTTCACATTATAGAGAACTACAGTAATAGAGAGACAAAAGGCTGCTTGCACTCTGCACTCAATGCAAAGAAGAAAAAACTATTAACGAAAAAAAATTTAAGCCGTAGTTTACATGCCCCATTTTTCAAAATGCAGCTGTAGGGAAGCATGATCATATCGGAATCATATCAGCATCGGCAGATAATTGCTTTAAAAGAACATTATCGAATTGGGACAGATGTTTAGATTTGACCGATATTTCAAACCGATACTTGATGTATTTGTTGTACTCCGGAGGAGCAGAATGTTTAGATGACACTGGGTTACTGCGCAAATATAACTGCATTTAATTCATTAGTGCACTTGTAACCATCTACAAACAAATGTTACATTTCACTTTACGCTAATACAGGGCGGATGTAATCCAAATTTGTACATTTTATAAACATTTATGTATTGGCATAGGCAGGTATATTCATGAAAAACATAGGACATTGGCATCGGCCCACAGTTTCTATATTGGCATATGTCATGAAATGAAATTATAACACAGAGTGATTTTGAATTTGAAGTAGAATTACACCACTGACAGATCAGCAAGCTACACCCTTTGCCATGGTTCTACCTACAAACCACAAAAGAAACTGCGACATGATGTGTACAAACACAATACAAACAGACTCACTGTACACAGTAGCTACTCCTTCCATATCATCCTGCTAAAAATGAGCAGTAGCAGCTACTGAGGAATTGTCTAACATGAGTAGAATTTATGTGTGAATTGTGACTGAGAGAGTGACATAGAAAAACTCTCATCGAAACATGTGCATGCTGCCTGTAAACACAAACACGCATCACAAAAAAAGCAGCAGTGGGATGGTCAATACAGAGCGCATCCCAAATCACCCCGGGGAAGGATCAGCTCCCCTGTGGGCCGCGCGGCTGCACGGCCACTAAGTGAATTCATTTACAGTGCAAAGAATGAGAGTGCTGTGCAGGGCTTACCAGAAGTGAGAGGGCTCCAGAGTGGCCAGTGGACTGAGTAATCGGCCTAATGAATGGGACAAGGAGGCCCTGTTGGTACAAGGAGACGCATTTAGAAATGGGGTGACAGAAATGAAATTAAAAAAAAAAAAAACAGCTGTTTGTCTGTTTGTTTGAAAAAAGGCATCTAGCCGTCCCATCATTGTAAGGGCAGTGGACAAATGGATACAAGGTGAGACAGATATCATATGTGATTAGATAGGTGCTTGATCTGGCCAAAGGTCAGCGGACCGGCAGTGGTCACAGGCTGGGTTCTTGTGGACGGAGTGGGCTAAAGCCTCTCAGTTAAGGGGAAAAGGTGGGTCGAGCGCAGCCACAGGCAGGCCTCTGTGGGTAATGTATTCTGAAACCAAATTACCGTAAGCCGATCCCATCTGGATAGTGTCGGAGTGGGGGCTGCTTTGGTTACCCACGATAGCATCTCCACGCAGACAGCAAAAATCTGATTAACCCAATAGCACTGAAACACTTGGTCAAAGAGCAAGGAGCTTTTAACTTAAGATACACTAATGCAATTCCCTCGCCTTGTTTTCTCTACAGCTAATATAATAAAATGGAGGAGAGGAGGGGGGAAAAAAAGAGAGGAAAACAACGGAAGAGATGTGCATTTTAAGTGCTCAATGCGCCAACTCGGGAATGAAGTCAAACAAATTTAAATGTAATTCATCACTGAGTGCGTATGGAGGTTCACCACAGAAATACATAATCCAACTGTCATTCCACTAAAGAGAAAAAGGAGGGGGGGGGTGGTGTGAGTGAGGAAAACGGGGGGATATGCTTGTCGGTAAGTGAGGAAAAGATAGAAAAGTCTTGTCTCTTTTCATTTTCGCTCATTGTGAATGCGCCAACAAGCTAAGAAAAACTCAAAGTGACAGGTCACAATATTGCCAGATTTCTGAATGGCAAGGAAACATCACAAAAACCCGAGAGGTGCAATAAAGCGAGCCATTCCCCCCCAGCTGCTGCCTGCATCCTGGCAACCAAACTTAAAAAAGAAGACGTTATTAAAAACACGTAAAAGACAAAAGGAACTGCCACATGTGGCAAACGCAATCCACACGGTTTACTAGAAAGCTTTTACTCTTTCTGCATTATTAACTCTTTGGTGTCACCTCTCTGGAAGCGTCCGACGTAAACAGCGCTGGCTTCTCTACATCTGACACTAGTAAACATATAGTGGTCACACTTTCAGTGCTAATTCAGGACAGTGGTGCATGTTGAGGTCAATCCATACAGATGCATGCATATATTGAATTCACCAATACCAGACTAATGGACTGGCCAACACAGTCCACTCAACAAACCAGCGACAGCGGATTTCTCTCTCTTTCTCTTTCTCTCTAATTCTCACCCTACAGAGCAGCAATTCAAAATGATTCTTTTAAGATGTGTCAAAATGACCAGCATTCAGAAACTAAAAATGAAATTCACTTAAAGTTTATTTTTCCTAGTTTTACTAACTAGTGCTTTTAGTAATGCAAGATTAAAAATAAGAAGAATAGAGAAATGTATCTAAAATATGTATATAATATTTTTTATATAATGTATAAAAAGTGAAATAGCTGTATTTAGTATATATATATATATATATATATATATATATATATATATGTGTGTGTGTGTGTGTGTGTGTGTGTGTGTGTGTGTGTGTGTACATAAAGGAAATGTAAAATTTCAATATCTAAAACTGCTCACGATTTTTGTCACTCTTCTACTGTTCCAGCACACACACACACACACACACACACACACACACACACATAACACACATAACACACATAAATCTCACTACTGATGTCCTAGTGCACAAAAAATACTAAGCAGAGATCAGAATGTTAAATGATATTAAATGATATAAAGGTTTGCGCTGAGGCCAAACATTTACTCCCTTTTTGTAATATTACAGCACATGCTGTTGTATGTTAGTGTTCCATGTCTATGCGAGCCAGTACATACTGCACACTGCACACCATTCAAACAACATTCAAATGTTGGGTGGTGTCCTGAAAAAAGAGTTAGTCTGGCCTTACATTGCCGCATAATGGACACTTAATTTCAAATAACTTGTTTTCAATTAAAAGTAAATGTTTAGTCTATTAAAGTAGCTTCAGTTTATTAATCTGTAGTGGAGAAACAAATGTGTGTGTAAAATTCTCATCACGGTGTAAATATGAAAACTGCTTTTCTGTGGCATAAATACATCCATATATAACAACAAAAATATTGTTTACTTTTTTATTACTCAGACTTGTGGAAGTAGTATGAACACAATACACTGATTAAAATCTGAATAAAAATAAATGAACATTAATGAATTTATTTTTTTTAAGAAATCAAATTAACAGTATGAAATGGTAATAGTAGTTAGGAGTCGTCTGAATAGGGTCTTATTTAAAAACATGAACTGCTCTCTTAACTACAGCATAAACTCAGCCCCTCATTATTCTTAATGCTATGATTCAGAATTGCTGTAAAATGTAGGCAGCAAAAGTTTAAATCATATTTAAATAAAATAAACACAGCAAAATCTAAAATGTATATTTACTTTTAATTTAAAATAATAATTTGTTTATTAAGCTTTATTAATGCAAATATATTCTCTATGTTCTGCAATTATGTGGCAATTGTAAAATCTCAGCAGAGCTGTCAAAATAAACACACAACACAGAAGAACTAACAGACCCGTTTTTCAGTACGTTAAACTCAAAATGCAGCAGTGTTCAAAGCAAATTTAAAAAGTTTGTAAATGTAGCAGTTTGGGCAGAGGCTGTCCAGTAGTGTACCTAGAAAAGCTGAGCTGTATTGAACCGTTGTAATCCTGCTTAGTGTTAACTACAAAGCAGATTAAAATATGCGTGGCTAAGGAGTTAACGAGCTCTGCAGTGCACAGCGTGGTCAGCGGTGGGCCAGACACACTTCCCCAAAAACCCACAGACACACAGTCCCCGGACTGCAGCAGGAACTGATGTCATTTTAGCCCATTTCATTCCGTCCCCTCGGTGCGTCCGTAGGCTCGGAGTGCCGGTGTAATCCTACACGCCGTCCACAGTGAAAAAATCCATACAGCTGAGCTACTTCACATTATTCTTTTCAAGCATATCAATCTTTCAGCCCGCCACGCTGGAGATCTTTTTATGATAATCCAGCCACAATAACGCACACATTTGGCTGATTGGATTTTTAGCATGAAAAGAGTTATTGTTGTAAATTAAGAGTGCTCTGAGTATGGTTTATGATCAACATGATATATATCAGTACATCAGTACATGCAGAGATTACATGCTGGGCGCAGGGAAAAAAAACTTCTGATGGCTATAAATTCATAGAAATAACTGAGAAATATGGCGCAATGAGAAGTGAAAAGAAATGACAACTAGTTATTACTTTTAAAAGCCCGATTAAAAAATTATGCTTAGGTTTTAAACAAGTAGATCTGATGTGGAGAGAATTCATTTTTGAAAATGAGACACGATTGAAAAGTGGAAGGAAAATAATTCTTATTCACATTTAAAGCTGGTATTGACAGTAAGTTTGAGAATTGTCAAGTTTATAGAAGCGCTCTGGCTCTGTTCTCAGGCCGGTCAGCTGTAGCCGTAGCAGGACAGTACAGGGGTGAGAGAGAGCGCGTACTGAGCGGCGAATGCTCCTCTGGATCTCTCTTCTCTATAACAAATATTCCCACCATGTAATTCAGCCTGTCCGATCCCCATGAGATCTCTTTAATCTTGTCTCTTTCCATTTAGCCCCATGCATTTAAGAGTGGGCACTGATCTAAGCGCGACTTCCCCTTTATTCACTGCTTTTGTCCCGCTTGGACAAGTACCTTAAGATTTGTTTTGTTTTTTTTTTCCCCTTTCATTCTTTTTGAAATGCACATGCACATACTTGCGCGTTCACATACAAATGAAGGGAAATCACACTTAAGGAGCACCTAATTGATTGGCCACGCACTTAATGCAATGTGCAAAGAGTTGCCACACACAGCTAACAAGCGGCTTTCAGGCGAGGCTTTTTTCCCCCTCTGTCCCATACAGAACAAGCACAGAGCACCTGCTCCGCTGCTATACTTAATAATCTGTTCAAGCCTCGTTACACTCGAAACAGACAGAGAGAATGTGTCTACGTATATGTGGAGTACCAACACAGCTGACGAAAGTACAAAGCCTCTTAAAAATAACAGCAAAAAGCTGCTTAGGACAGCCCAACCAGATACTCAGAAAAGCAAGAAAAAGAAAGAGCAAAAGCAGAAACATGCTATTTCCAGAGAGAGAGAGAGATTAAGAGAGAGAGAGGTTAAAATAGAGTAGAGAAAAGAAAGATGCACCTACTGGTTATGATAGCTGAGAGGATCAGGGATGCAAAGTTCGGAAATGTCCATCAGTCCAGTTTTAGCATTCCAGGAAGCAGAGAAGGAGGAAAGAGGAAATGAGTGACCCCCTACTTCTCCCCCCAAAAAACGAGAGACGGACGAGCACCTTCAAAGGAAAATGTTAAACCAAAAAAAAAAGAGCACCCTCCTGCACAGCACCCCCCCAGTCTGCACAGGTACAAGAGTGTGTGCGTGTGTGTGTATAAGTTAGCTAGTATGTATGTGTGTATGGATGTGCATGAGAGTGGGGGGGGGCAAGAGGTAAAGTGGGAGGGGGGGTGAGAAGGAGTGAGCGAGGCAGAGAGAGGCAGCGGTGGAGAGAGAGAGAGAGAGAGAGTGAGCGGGCGAGCGAGCAAGCGCTAAGATGGAGTGGCCGTGCGAGAGCGAGCGAGAGAAATGACTCTTTCCATGCTCAGGATAGGGCTCTTTAAGACTGAAGGGCTTGATGAATATGGAACAGCTGCTGTTGGCTGGCTCCGGGGGGCCGGACTTAAAGCGACAGAGAGAGAGAGAGAGAGAGAGAGAGAGAGGCTGGTGGAACACAGGGGAGGGGGTGGGGAGAGAGGGGGGGGGTCTTAAATGCCCACACAGACAATCGCACACCCTGATATACACAAACACACAATTTACTATAAAGCTCCATGTGAGGTCTTTCACTGACTCCAGGGAGAGAAAATAATACTAACCCTAAACACAGCCCTGGCTCTAACTTTAACCATTTACAGGAAGAACACACTCGGAAAATGAATAGAACAAGCACAATTTCTATATAATAAATGCATATACTCTTGTCATGACCAGCAAAAAGAATCACTGCTTGAAAGTAGGCATGTACAATAATATGGGAATTATATCAATGTTGGCAAATTGTTGCTTAAAAAGAGATCAAACATTTGACATTTGATAGATATATCAGACTGAAATTTGATGATGTTTTTATTATACTGAATGAGCAGACTTTTTAGGTGATACTGGGATACTGCACTCAAATCTTCTAATTTTATTTATTTTACTGCATCAGTATTCTAAAGAACTTGTTTTTTACTCAATAATGCTATTTAAGGCAGACATATTTCCAATTTTATGAACGTTTATGTAGGAACTGGCAGATAAAGATGAAATTCATCAGATATCATCATCAGCCCACAATTCCCATATCGGTGCATCCCTACATGTGAGCACTTTTGGTCCTCTTTAGTACAGCAATACAAACAAATCCACAGATTTGAAACAGATGCATACTTTAAGAAAACCTCACGAATTATCAGACTGGACAAAAAAGCAATAATTAAAAAAGATAATGCGCTAAAGAAAAAGCGCTATGTGCCTTACAAATATCTTGTCTTCTAATAAGAAGCATGTGTTCAAACATGGGTAATATAGTTCAGTATAGATTTAGCCACTGTCAGAGCGCAGTTGTGTATTTTTTAAACTCACTATTATATTTCATACTACTGTCAACTATTGCTCTTTTAACGCTGTCATCTTAAATTATGTGTTTCCAGGATTTAGATGTACTGAGATTAAATTGGTGTACCGAGATATACTGAGATCAGATAAAACAGATTTATTTAGATTTTGATTATTTATGAAGAGTTATTTATTTATGTCAATATTTATTTATTTATTTATTTAAATGAACATTAATAACTTGAACTTTAAGTTAAAACAAGCTCACGAATTCGCAAACTGGTTAACTTTCATGATTTTTTAAAAACAGCTAAGAATGGTGAGTCTACAGAAATAAATCAGAAGAGTCACGAGTTTTTTGTTTTTTTTTACACCATCACACAGCAACCATCCTGTGAAAGTTTCAGCACAAGTGTGAGAAATGTTTCGAGCCATAACTCAAACTAGACACCCATCAGCTTCTAAAGCGGCGGAAAATCCTTGCCTGTCTTCAGTGTCCCGAGGTTTTAAAAACGCCTGTGTCTCACTGTTGATCAAGCCTTAGAAGAATGCAGGGAATGCAGA